ATCAGGGGTTTATTCAGCAAGAGACAGACAAGCAGGGACATCCACGGACACTACAATGACGGATCTGGGGAAGACGGACTGAGACTCGGACTAAATACAAAAGACTAGGCAAACGGAACAGGCAACAGGTGAGAACAATCAGGGATGAACACAAGGTAACAAGGTGAGTGTGGCACACATCAGGAGCGGACGGAGCGGGGCGTGACAAATAGACCTTATGGCAGTCTGTTTGATAGCAGAAGTTGTCTGTAAGTCAGACATTCTTAACCCAGGGACTGTCTATATTAGATTGCAGTACAACTATATTTCTGCATTATGTATTTGTGCATTTATACCTTATGACATAAATCTTGGTAACTCTTATATGTGTTATATGAGTGTATGACCTATATTATGGTTCTATAAGTCATGTTACTAAACTGACCTGTGGTTCCTGAGGTAACTGGTTTTGAGAGGAATGAGGGTAAAGGTGATTCATGTAGAACTTTTGAACTGGAGATCTTTATCTCATTTACACCAATTTACATCGTCTCAATCCATAATCTAGTGCACTTTTAATATAATACCTCAGTACTATATCATGTGGTTTTTATTTGTACTTCCTTTGCATATGATTTGCAGTTGTCTGTAAGGGGTTACATTTACATTGTAGTTATGCCCAGTACTTCTTCTCTGAGACTTAAACATGCCATATAAAATGCTTTGCGAAGCGTGCCTTTGTGATCAAAATGAGATTATTCTCTCAAATGGCAGCTGTAGTTAAGTTGTGGCAATGAACAATGTAAACCAGCTCCATGTGGTTGACTGCCAGTTTGCTTTTCTTCTTCATTGCTTTTCATTAGCAGTGGAGAATTTCAGCCAAATTTCAGACACTGATTTCAACAACAAATCGAAAGAGACCCTGTTTGCAGTTCAAGGGGAGGTTAAAGCCAATTCATTAAATTTAATTAATGGATTTAATGATCCAAAACTTGGCTGGCAACCTAATGTGGGCAAGGATGGAAGACAACTTCAGGAATTAGCTTGCTGGGTGCCTCTGTTTCTGAGGCACGTGTTTCTCTGCCAAGCTACTGTGCAGAGACCTTTGGACAATGAGGGCTGCCTCGGACCTGTTTCTAACCCAAAGGACGTCATCTCCTGCCACGCGGCTCAGTATTGCACCGGCTCTCTAAATGAGGACAATAGTACTTGGAAATAATCAAAGCTGCAAACAAATTTTAAAAATGAGTCTGACTCTTTGTCCAACGTTTTGTGAGTGTGCACCGAATACTTTAGGATGCTGGCTATTTTTTTACATAAGTAGTTCTGGCGGTTACCATCAAAACACAGTAAGATGCTGCTGGCCATCATTTATATATACTGTGGATAGGCAATAAGCAAACCCTCCTATCTTTTTAATGGACAATGTTTGGCCACGAAATGTTTGATAATAAATGTCTTAGCATTTCAAAGGGGCCTTTGAATGCATGCAAATAAATACATTTTATTACTGAATTTTGTATTCTCAGTTTTTTATGATTTTTTTTTTTATTCAAAGATTTTGCTGACATCAAAAATACTTTTATCTCTAATCATATCATAAAGGGAAGTGTTTTGCTTTGCTTTTTATCTTCCATATCATTTCTGCTTCTTGTACAGCCTTGGGTTAGGGGTGTGTTCTGTTCAGTGCTTGCATGGGTTAGGGGTGTGTTCTGTTCAATGCTTGCGTGGACTGGGTGTTGGGCAGGGTCATGGGGACCAGCGGCTCTGGGGCATCTGTTGGTAAGGAAAGATTTACTGATCTTGACTTTGCTGACGATGCTGTGATCTTTGTGGAGTCAATGGAGGCTCTGATCTCAAGATCCAGGCCTTTTAATGCCCTCATGGGCACAGCCTTCAGCATGGCCTTCAGCATTGGCCTTCAGCATGGCCTTCAGCACTGCATCTGTCTGCTAGGAGAGTGTCAACCTCATCAAGAGGCTCACTTACCTTGGCAGAGACATTCATGTTTGTGGTGACTCTTCCTGTGAAGTCAGTAGATGGATTGGGAGAGCATGAGGTCACTGGACAGGGCTGTGTGGGACTCCCAATATCTTTGTAAGAAGATGAAAGTCCAAGTCTTTAAAATCTTGATGGTCCCTGTCTTGCTGTATGGCTGTGAGACATGGATGCTATCCAGTGAGCTGAGGCAAAGACTGGACTCGTTTGGTACTGTGTCTCTATGGCTTTGTGGTGCGGTTCCCTGAAGGTGATCCAGCTCGCAGGATCCTCATTGCTGAGGCCCATAACACCTGGCTGCAGCAGATAGACGGACATTTCCGGAGGGTGGGACTGGACCATGTGTCAGCCTGGGGCTCTCCAGCCAGGATACTGAGGTGTTTCATTTTGGGGTGGGTGCAGCGACACGCTGTACCAGTGCATGCTCCCCAACCTGACCTGTACAAGGGGAAAAATTGTGACCCTGTGTCTGTCTGGCCTTTAACTCCAGAAAAGTCCAACCATAAGAACCATTTCCATGTTCTATAATCATGCCTCAGGTTCTGTTGCCATCCTGATTTGACTAATTGTCAAAATGGTTTCTCCCAGTGCTCCATATACAGGACTCAAGAACCTCACAAAGCCAATGATAAATCCTTCCCCGCAAAAGACTGCAAATGTAATACATGTGGGAAAATCTGACATTTTTCAAGAGTGTGTAAATCTTCCCATAAACCTGTTAATGAAGTGACTGTGCCTGAAATGTGCGTTTTAACTGTTGAAAATTGTGTCAATAGTGATCCAGCTAAACTGATGTGCACTGTTACTGTCACTGCACATCAAATACTGCACAAGCATGTACTGTTAAGCTACTAGTAGACACAGGGTCTGGTGTTTCTATACTGCCTGAGCATGTTTACAGCACAAATTTTGGCTCAGTTAAGTAATCCTGCTGCTCAGCTTGTTACATATTCCAAAGAGAAGCTGAATGTATTAGGATGTCTTAGAGCTGATATTAATTACAACGGCAAGAGTGTCTCCACAGATCTCTACATTGTGAGAACAGGGACACCCAAACTGGGCATGGACCTGGTGACTGCAGTCCAGCTACACATAAAAGGGGGGCACTTAGTAATTGAGACTCCCAAGGTCTGTGCTACACTTCAGCAAACCTCAGCTCTGACAACTCACTGCAAACAGGAATGTGAGTCTCCAGTTGCATTCGGATGTGCAAAGGACTTCATACACAAAGTGAAGGCGCGACCTGAAGTGAAGCCAATACAGCAGAAACTTCGACGCTTACCCCGGTCGGCAGGGCCGGCCCAAGCCTTCAGGGGGCCCTAAGCAGAATTTTATTTGGGGGCCCCTCTGTGCCACCAATATGACTAATTATTGTCAATCCTTTATTATTCGCACACTATAAATCTAACACACCCAATATAAATTTTATTTTTTTGTAGATGTGTTGCTTACATCGTACCAGTGTTTTTACCGTTGCTATGATCTTTAATTGTAACAGTAGCAAACCCACAGGAGTAGTCAGGTGTTAATTTGCACTTTAACATTCAAAGTCTTGCAGTACCAGTTGGCATACTTAATGTGGTGTACTGAAAAGTGGCAAAATAAACTAGTAGACAATGCTCTTACTGTAAACACTTCAACCACTTTAATTTATTTTTTTTGAAGTCCTTTCAGAGTCAGACAGGATAGATGACCACTCAGCTGGGTCAACTGGAGGAGCTGCTGATCCATGGTGTAGGCTGGAAGTAGCTGAGGGAGTAGATGTGACATTGATCCCAATGGCCACAGAACTAGAATGATCTATATGGAAATTAAATTAAAAATTATATTTAGAAATATTAATCACAGGATATTCTACAGTAAACTGAGCAAACACACAGTGCTACTAACTTACCTGCCACCTCCACTGAGGTTGAGACAGACGTAGAAGGAACTGTAGGATCAGTGGATAAAGGTGCTGGTGAGTGCTCCTCACCTGCAGAGAATGTACTTTATTAAAGATAAAAATAATAATAATTATTTTAAAAATATAATAATATAAAATAAATGTAGCCATGTTAGATTTCATACTGAAAGGTGATGCTGTCTGCCAAAAACAAACAAATGAACAACAAAAAAGGTATAAACAAACTGATCTAGGATTGTTTTAAACTCACGTGGAATATCATCATCAGCTGTAGCACTGGTACTTGAGGCAGATGGCATTGGTTGTGCCCCACCTCCAAAATATTTCAACAGTGCTCCTAAAAAGTTTCATAAGAGTATAGTTGAATGAACAGAATGTTATTTTAACAGAAAAGCTATTTCAACAACAATAACAACAAACAACAGTTATTTTAACATCAACCTATATGGCACCGCAGCAAGCCATGTGTACACCTAAAACATTAAGACATAATGATATAATAACACAGACCCCAAACATAGGCCAGTCCAGTGTAAGTAACGTTAAACTGTTATCAGTACCAAAGTTATAAAACAGAAGCTTTTTTTTTATTATGCATCTGTAACTGCTTTCATTACGCATGAAGGACTGTACCAGTATTGCAGAGTTCCATACGGATTGAGTTCAGCACCTGCAGTGTTTCAAAAGTGACACAAATCCTAAGTGGCCAAAAAGGGGTGCAATGCTATCTTTATGATGTCATCATACATGGAACTTCAGAAGCTGAACATGAGGCCAACCTGTGTGCTGTGTTGCACAGAATCAACAACGCGGGACTGAAACTCACTGTTGACAAATGTCAACTCTGTCAAACTACTCTGAGCTTCCTTGGTCAAAAGATCGGTCCAGAGGGTCTGCTGCCAGATGATTCTCATGTCACTGCTATCCTGCATGCTCTGCCTCCTACTGATCCTGCAACTCTGCGCTCATTTCTTGGCCTGAGTGCATGGAATAGCAAGTTTCCAAAACAATTTTACATATACCACTGAACACCAAGACTCTGCTGTAACTCATAATAACAATTGCAATGATTGATTTATATGGGATAATTGTTTGATACCTTCTCTTTCCCCAATAGCCACCAGTTCCAGTTTTGCATTGTTGGACATACTGCTGAATGAGACCGTCCAAGGCCAACTATTACCTCAACAATGGAACCCAAGGGAAGTGTCATACAGTAAGTCACCGTATAAAGGCATTGTCATCAGAATAATTCAGCAGTGGGTCTCCTCCAGTGTGGGTCTCCTTCAGGTTCAAAAATATGTTGGTTGGTGTGTCGAAATTGCTTTTAATGAGTGATTGTGAGAGTATATCTTGTGATAGATTGCTATCATGCCCAGTCTGGGTCTTACTTGAACCGGAGATCCAAGGTCACCGTGGACGTAGGGTAGATAAGTGCGTAAGAAAACTTAAGTTGAAAGTTCATTTCAACTTCCATGTAATAGCCCACTGGATTATTTGATGGCTTATGTGTTGATTGAATTTATTTTGATAGTATTTTTTAAAAGTTCACATAATATGGGATATGACTTTTTTATTCTTTTATTTTCTGACACAGTGCCGATACCATAAAATATTAATACAAATGCTATATAACTTTAGATGCTCAATTGCAAGCAGTAAATCTTGGAAGAAATGCAAGTTTAATGCTTCATTCTGATGTTTGTAGGGAAGAAGGCACAATATTGATTGAGGAGAGGTAAACTTAAGGAACAAGGCAGAGCCCCCCCTGGATGGGATTCCAGTTTGAATAAAAACTACAGTGTGTTTGAGAAAAGGCATTTGGTATATTGCAGTGATTCCCAACCCAGTCCTCAGGGACCCCCCAGCCTGTCCATGTTTTTGCTCCCCCCCAGCTCCCTGCCAGACAGTTCACATTTTTGTCCCTTCCAGCTCACATAACAAAAATGTGGACTGGGGGTCCTTGACGACCAGATTGGGAAACACTGGTATTTAGTAATGAGCTGATCATCACTCACCATATCGTAGAGTCATCCTTTAATCCTGTCATTTAGTCCTTGATGTTATGAATTGTACCACTTTTCAATTTATTCTGTGATGGATGTCACCATACATTTATTAATCAGCATTTTCTTTATAACTGGGCAAAGATCCTTAAGATTAGCACCAGGAATAACTCCACATCCCGTCCGATGTTAAACATGGGAGCCACCCAGGTCTGCTGCCTGAGAGCAAGGCTGTACTCCCTCTTTATACTCTATCTGTGTAACCAAATGCAGAAGCAATTGCATCGCCAAGTTTGCTGATGATACCTCACTATGTGGTCACACCACCAATAACGAAGAATTCATGCAGAACTGAGCTGGTGGTGCTTGGAGAGCGGTGCCACAACAATAACCTCACCCCGGAACATCAGTCAAAGAGACGGGATTATTGTCACACACCGATTACCACTTTCAGGTCTCCGGGGGGCACTATCAGCAGTTCTGGATTCCTCAGCCTCGGGAACTCAGAGATGCAGAGCCTGACAGAGAACAGCAGATCAATCCTCATGAAAGCCTATCAGTGCCTTCACCTACTGAGATGGCTCAGAAAGTGGGGATGAATAAGGCTATACTTCATCCAGAGTACCACTGCAAATGTCCTCAACAGCGGTAGTGCAATATAGGCGCTTTCACACTTAAGTTCCACAGAACCTGGTCCCTGTTTACAAGTTTCTGGGCCATCTTGACCTGATACTTTTGAAGCTTCTGGCCACTGTCCTGTGTCGTTTTCACACCGCTCCCCACGAACTGGGACCTTTATTCTAAATAAATGGAAGATGCAAAAAAACTTGATGGTTAAACTTCTCACATTTTCATATGAAACTTTTTTTGTGGTTTTTCAGCCTCCCTAGAGCAACTTCGCTTTAGTTTAGCTAAACGTAGTTCGGCAGGAAGTTAATCTCGGGTAAGTAATTGTTAATTTGGTTATTTGAAAAGTTTAATTTAAAGGTTGTTATAGCTGACGCTGTCGTTAGTTACGAATTTATGTGGGGAGAGACGGAAAGCCCAAATAAATATTAAAAGTGAGCACTGTAAAAGGCCTACCATTTGTGGTCTGTATTTAAATGCTAGGAGCATTAGAAACAAAATTCATGATTTAGAGGCTTTAATTTCATCGGACACTTACGACATTATAGGAATAACTGAAACACGGATGAGTGACAATGATGGGGAAGAATATAATATGGATGGTTATACGCTGTTCCGTAGAGACCGGATAGGCAAGAAGGGAGGTGGTGTTGCAGTATACGTAAAAGAAAACTTGCAGGCAAGGGATCTCACTGATAAAAATAAAAGCACAGAAGCTGTATGGATAAAACTGGATGCTAAAGACTCAAATGGCCTAATTGTCGGGGTTTGTTGACATATATGCTTATGATTCTTATTAAATATGGCCAGCAGATGGATCTTTCATTTTCCACTGAATAAATAACTAGGATATGTTTCTACATAGACTTCATGGAAAAGGCAAACTAAAATGGCTCTCCCACCATCATAATTACTCATTGTCTTTGCTTCTCTCTGCAGCAGCTTCCTGCGATTTGGAATCACCGTGTTCATGGACTTTGTCCAACTACAGCAGTGGAGGGGACTGGCGAATCACAAAGGCACAACGGCGCACATCTGACACGCAGAGGGCTGAGCCGCCTGCTGATCACTCAGTCGGAGATGCAAATGGTAAGAAAGACTGGCAGTCACTCCAGATGAACCCTTGATAATATGGAGCTTTGATTGATCTTTGTTCCCATTTGAAAAATGGCAGTATGTTTTCTCTGGTATCAGGGAGAAGAAACACTTTTGCTACACACTGGGTACCTGCCCTTTGTATTTTTTTTTTCTGACCGCAAATTTAATCTGTTGACTGAAGCCCTTTCACACACCACTAGGGCACCTCCTTCTGCTGACGGCCACTGCAGCAGAGTCAGCAGGACATTGCCAGTTCTTCATAGCCAGTCCAGTGCTGCACAGCAGTGGGCCGCACTGTCAGCTGCAGCTCGCCCGGTACCAGACTGTGGGCATTTTGGGGAACCTGACGGTCCAGGTCAAACCGATGGACTCTGATGTAGCCAAAAGCTCAACATTTCTTGGCCACCAAGGGCAACACAGTACCAGGTAAAATATTTACAGCAGAGATGATGCCCTCTAGTGGACTGCGTGTGCACAGCCTGAGCTGGGACTGGGTCCAGGGTTACCATGACCCTGCATTAGATAAGTGGATAGGAGAATTCCATTTCAAATGATATCACTTTCCACTTCTGTTTAATAGCCCATTTGATTACTTGACTGGTCATCCTGTGTATGTAAGTTCAGGAACATCTGCTCCAATTCTACAGATTCAAGAATGCTTTCAGACCACCCCCCCCCCATGTTAGCTGCAGTCCTTCACTCTGTCACCTCTTTTGGCCTGTTTTTATGACCTAAAAGGCACTGATGCTGATAGTATGACTTTCAAGAACTCCAGATATCATTTGCAAATGTATTGGAGCGTAACATGAATATCTGAAGCAGAGTTTATTTTGTTTTAGATATAGTTTCAACTGTATGCATTTTTGTGACTAATCCGTGACGAACAAAAAGAATCTTTTTCATAACATTCTCTTATTAGAACAGACTGGTTGTCCATCCATTGCTTCCAGTTAAGGCAATGGTAATCAGGTTTTTAATCTGGAAAGCAGAGCACACCAAGACAGCGTGTAGCCAGTTCCTGCTTGAATGCCAGTTCAGCATAATGCACATTTCTCATACTCATTTCCCATCTAGCCACACCCAGACTAGAGACAGTGTGTAACCCTGAATATCAGCCCTGTTGTCCACGGTAATGAGGGTGGAGAGTCGCAGCCCCTCTGGAATAACATTACCTGGCAGAAAGAGATAAACCACACCAGTTGTTACCTGTGTACTCTTTGATGGGATGATGTCGTTACCATTGATTTCTTGTTAAGTCCAGGGCTTCACAGACAAAGGATGAATGATTCTCATTCCAAGAATAAAGCTAGGGTGGGATAGTGGTTATGCTGTGTCCTTGGCCCTCCTTGCCAACATCCATGCTGCCCTGCCTCACCAAAAATTATTGATAAATGAAAGCTATATTCACAGGCCTCTTCCAGGCTTGTTAGTGGATGTACTGTAAATCAGCCCATATAAACAAAATTTTCAGCACCAGCAATGTAAATACTGCACCTAACCCACCTCAGTGTGCCTGTGTCCTCTCACATTGACAGAGCCAATGTCCATGGCTGAGCTAGTTCAATGGCCTCATTATTCATTGGCTTCATTCATCAGTATTTCAGCTTTATTATTATTCTTGTTATTAATAGACGTGTTTCAAGATTGCTACTCAGTGTTGGAGTTTTTGGCAACACACACATTTACAGTACAATGACACACAAATTGCAGGTCTGGGAAATGATGATTGCGTACTTTAATCCTTAGAAGAACCAAAACAAAACTGGGAGAAGATACCAATAATAACACACGGTTGGTGCAGCATTAAACAGCTCAACCTGACTGTTGCTCTTTGATTGGTGCAGAGAACAGTGGGAGGTGCTTAAAGCCCATATTGGCCTACAGGAAAAGCCCTTTCAAGTGATATTGCTGTACTCTACTTGTGGTGTGGAGAACTGGAGTTCACTTGCCATCGATTCATTAGAGCTGAAAGACTGTGATGCAGGTAAGTCTCAGATGCCAGGATGCATTAAGAACAAGAAACATCAAATGTTCTATTTGATGTACAGTACAGATTCTTTTCCAGGGCATTCAATGTTTTGTCTTTTTCTCACCCATCCACACTGTCGCCTTAGGGAACTTAATGGTTGATTGCATGGAGGACATGTCTTTCCACTGCAAATTTGGGGACTGCATAGACAAAAGCAAAGTGTGTGACTTCCACAATGACTGTCCCTTGGCTGAAGATGAGGGTCCTGTGTGTGGTGAGTCTAAAAATGCTGTAAAGTGTGAAGTAGTAAAACAGATTTTTCGAAGACTGGCTCACAAATCAACCTTTAAGCTCATGCTTACGCAGAAACTTGTTAAAAAGTCCATACATCTATCAATCTTTAATGACCTCCTGTCTGAAGCAGGATTGCATTGTGGCCGAACCCAGAGCCACAAGACACAAGGCAGGACACACCTTAGAGGTGATGGCACCTCACACAAACACGGACTAACAGTTATTAAAGGGTAGTTTAGAGGCACTCATTTCCAATAGAAATTATATACTATATTGCCAAAAGTATTGGGACACCTGCACACACACATGAACTTTAATGACATCCCATGTTTAATACATAGGCTTTAATATGGAGTTAGCCCACCCTTTGCAGCTTCAACTCTTCTGGGACAGCTGTCCACAAGGTTTAGGAGTTTGTTTGTGGGAATTTTTGATCATTCTTCCAGGAGAGCATTTGTGAGGTCAGGCACTGATGTTGGACGAGAAGGCCTGGCCCACAGTCTCCGCTCTATTTCATCCCAAAGGTGTTCTGTTGGGTTGAGGTCAGGGCTCTGTGCAAGCCAGTCAAGTTCCTCCACACCAGACTGACTCATCCATGTCCTTATGGACCTTGCTTTGTGTACTGGTGCACAGTCATGTTGGAACAGGAAGCGGCCGTCCCAAAACTGTTCCCACAAAGTTGAGAGCATGAAATTGTCCAAAATGGCTTTGAATGCTGCAGCATTAAGAGTTCCTTTCACTGGAACTAAGGGGCCAAGCCCAACCCCTGAAAAACAACCCCAGACCATAATTCCCCCTCCACCAAACTTTACAGTTGGCACAATGCAGTCAGACAAGTACCGTTCTCCTGGCAACCGTCAAATCCAGATTCATCCATCGGATTGCCAGACAGAGAAACATAATTCATCACTGCAGAGAACACGTCTCCACTGCTCTAGAATCCAGTGGCGGCATGTTTTACACCACTGCATCTGATGCTTTTCATTGCATTTAGTGATGTAAGGCTTGGATGCAGCTGCTTGGCCACAGAAACCCATACCATAAAGTTCTCTATGCACTGTTCTTGAGCTGATCTGAAGGCCACACGAAGTTTGGAGGTCTGTAGCTATTGACTCTGCAAACAGTTGGTGACTTCTGTACACTGTGCGCCTCAGCATGCGTTGTCCCCGCTCTGTGATTTTACGTGGCCTACCATTTTATGGCTGAGTTGCTGTTGTTCCCAATTGCTTCCACCTTGTTATAATACCACTAACAGTTGACTGTGGAATATTTAGTATTATGGAAATTTCACGAATGGACTTATTTGACTGGTGGCATCCTATCACGGTACCACGTTTGAATCCACTGAGCTCCTGAGAGTGACCCATTCTTTTGTAAATCTTTGTAGAAGCAGTCCGCATGCCTTGGTGTGTGATTGCATACACCTGTGGCTATGGAAGTGATTGGAACACCTGAATTCAATGATTTGGGGGGGGTCCCATTACTTTTGGCAATATAGTGTATATATTTTGAATAAATTTTGTTTGTTCGTTGGCAACTCAGCTACACTTTTTATTGAGAAAAATGACTTATTTAAACACATTCATAATACCACATCAATCAAAAAAGATTAAAAAAGATAAACTTTGATCTAGAATGGTACTGAAGCTGCAGTTGGAAAGAAATTTTACAATCATGAACTTGAACAAATCCAAATGGCTAATTAATGACTGAATACTCTGATAAGAAGATGGATAGGGTTACGATGGAACAGTACATGCCAACATTCACCACATAAATATTTAAGGGTGTGATGAATTGTTAATTTACCTTATAATGGAGTAGCCTGCTAAAAACCACTGCCTTTGCAGTGTCAGAAATGTCTCCAAGACAGCAATGATGAAGAGAGATCAGTGAAAGGAGCTATTTCCTCCCTCTGCTTAGTGGCAGACTGCACAGATCTTGACTTCAAGATGTCACTGTCAGCACAGTGATCAGAACCATGTGGCACTGTTAGATAGGGTACCCGACTCTTTCATCTATAGGAAAAAAAAAACTAAAAGCAGAAACATGGACCAGATTTCCTGGTAAAAGTGCATAGCATTGAAATAACATGAAATTGGGGATATCTGCAGAAGCAGTACAATATATACATACATAATCATTTTGGGAATGAGGGACATTAATGGAAATACTCCACTTACGAATCACCAATCGAAGACCCTGGTCACCTGACTTACCTGATCATCTTTCCCATGATGCCTTTCCACAGATGCTTCTGTGTATGCCCACATTTGGGCAGAAGTACCTCTAACTATACTTACCCAGCATATACACGTAAAACAGGAGAAAAAGGACATAAGCAATGTTAATCTCTGAACACTGCAGACTGCAGTTATATTGTTTTTTAACTCCATTTAACTTTTTCCATAGGAGAAGAGTATTCTAATACTATTAGTTTGCTTTCTGGTTACCTATCCAGCAATATTCTGCCTAGTCATAGTGTCAGTAACTCAAGGGTTTATATCACAGGAAGGGGGCATGGAACAGGCAGAAAAAGAAGAGGACGATCCACTGGTGGCTCCACAAAAACAGGGGGTTTATTAACACATAATGACAATGCTGGGAAGACTACAAACAAAAAGACCACAAGGGGTCAAAACTAAACAGGGGAACAATATAACTAATAATAAAAAATTATCTCAGAAGGGAAACAGGTCACACGGGAAACAGAAAGGGCAGCACATGTAATAACCAACATCACACAATCAAGAAAATACAGCCAATGACTCCACGGGGAACAGAGCAGGATCAGGTACTTGAATACAAAGGGTTAACATGTTAAGGATGCGTGCCGGGAAGCAGCACAGAAACCATGAAATCAGGTAAAATTGGGGTTTATTCGGGAAAAATACCAAAACACAGGGCACAGCACAAGCACGAACATCAATGACCGGACAGGGGTAAGACAGACTCAGAAGCAGTAAATACCACAATTGATTAACAACAACTAGACACAGCTGAGAACACTGGGATCCCACACGAGGTAATAAGGGGGCGTGGCACACGGGAGGATCGACCGGGCAGGCCATGACATAACAAGGAAGCACAGGACAGGTGAGAACAATCAAGAGGCTCAGGGGAACAGCAAACAGATGGATCTAATAAACTAAATCATACAACTCAGAAACTAGGAAACAGAAACATTTTCAAACTGATATTGGTAATTACTTAAGTGAACCCAGAAGACCTGCCAGAACTTGAATTGGATATCTTTGCTTAAACACTAGGGAAATAACAAAGACAGGTAAAACACAAACCAGGGCACAAAACCAAAATAGAATGCAAACAACAAAACTCAGGAACTAGAAAAACTAATACAAAGGAAAAACTAGGGAACAAAATCTACTAAATACAAAACAATGGTGAGTGGACTTGAACACACAACTGACAGGCTAGTTGCCAAGCACTCAGCCTATAGAACCATGCAGCAATCTAGGGAGCTGGGGAAACACACTAAAGACTTGGACAACGGGGAGGACAGGATGGCCAGCGACACCTGCTGGCCAAATGGGGAGGAGACCCGAAAGGCTGGGACAGGTGCTGACCCTGACACATAGTTGGGATTACACATGACTAATGACACACCAAGCGGTCTGCTAAACAATGAGTGAATGTATAGTCTTGCACTTCCATTTGCCCCTTTAGCCACAAAGGGGATATTTTGTGTAATGTCCATGGCTTACGAGAAAAAACACTTACGGTGGCTTGTTAAGGTGTGAGTGGCAGGGATGAATATGGTGGTTGGACTAGGGTGACTTAGCTTTTTTGGCTGTTGTAAATCATAAACCAATTCTCATACATGCATTCCCTAGACATCCTTCAACCTCATTTATTATTTGGAGCGTGGTTCTTTCAGCTTGGTGAGAGGGTATTAGGGCAGTGTTTCCCAGCTTGGTCCTTGGGCACCCCCAGACCACCCACAGTTTTGCTCCTTACCAGCTCACTGCCAGACAGTCCACACCTTGAGCTGGGTGGGAGCAGAAACGTGGACTGTCTGGTGGTCCCCAAGGACTAGGTTGGGAAAACCCTGTATTAGGGCATTATCTAAGAATATTAGGCTTTCTCGTGAGAGCCCAATAACCTTTTTACATCTTTTGCTTGACCTATGCCATTGCAGACACTCTACCCCTGGGGTCTCATTGCTCCTTTGAGGCTGGTTTCTGTGGATGGACCATGTCCAGCGGACCCACATCGTGGACTCTGAGCAGTGGAGAAAAGCTGGCTGCTGAAGATCTGTTGGGAACCGCTCTTCAGAAAACAAAAGGTACTATGGTAGGATGTCGAACAGCCCTGTGATCTGGGTGACTGGGCCGAGGTGGTGAGGGCTGAGGAACTTCACCATAGCTGTCTTAACCTGTCTTTCAGTTCTGTGTTATTCTACATAACTGAAATAAGCTTAATCTAACATTAGAGTCATGTGAAATTCTTTCTCTCTACTTAAAGCCTATAAATAATATTACATTCAATTTATTTCATGTGCCAAACATAATAAATGGCAGCCAGTTATCCATTAATTCTTAAATGTCTTTGAAGGATTTATTTTTAGAAAACAGGGGAACATTTTCATCAAACACCTTGAAAAGCTGCAATGTTTTCTTTTTATTACTCTGAGATTTATGACCTCTCCACATGACAGTACACAGTGTAGCTGAGAAAATCTGTACTTTAGTTACAAAATGAATTTCTCTATATTTATTTGTGCTAGTCAGATATCCTAAATAAAATGTATGGCCTGCTGATTGTATTATTATTCTTACAAGATAATCTGTGCTTTGGAGTTTGACCTTTTAATCCCGCATCCATTTTCACACAAAACCCCATTTATGCAGGGTGCCTGGTGCTTTTCCAACCCTGGTTTTTGTGTCACCATCCTCACAGATCACTTCCTGTTCTTGAGGGTGAGGAGCAACTTTGCAGGTGGCAAGGCAGTTGTTCACGGTCCCCTGCTCCCATCGATGATCAGCAGCGCGGAATGCCTGGTGAGATGAGCTGACAGGTGGACCTGACACACCAGTATACAGCTAAAACTATTTGATTAAACTCATATGACCTGGTAATAGAGGTCATAATTGTTGACCAATTAACAAAGACTGCTTAGTTACCTATTCTAGAAGGTATAAACTGAATGATGCTCACCAACTCCAAAAGTCTCACCTGCCTCTCACCCATCTGTCTCTGCTCTGCTTGTACAGATGCACCTTTCCCTCTACATCTATGGGGACGTCATCTGCACAGTGTTGCTGTCAGTGGAGGGAAACGGTACTGCAGTAGTACCACTTTGGGAACGGTCTGGCCATTGGATGGATAGCTGGATGAGCATTATGCTGAAACTACCCAATGTCCAAAACAGGTACTGTACCATCTTATTGCAGTCTATTTTCAGCTCTGCTTACTGTCCAGTTCTGCTGAGCTATTGTATCCCGTGAGTTTTGCATACAAAATAAATAATTTGAGTTACTGTGCAAGGATAGTGCAGTGGCACAGTGGTTGGCACTGCTGCCTGACACGTCTGGGACTGAGGTTCGAGTCTCTGCCATGGCTCCATGTGTGTGGAGCTTGCATGTTCTCCTGTGTTGTTGTGGAGTTTCCTTGAGGTGCTCTGGTTCCTCCCACAGCCCAAAAATGTACTAGGGTGAACTGGAGTTACCCAATTGCCCATAGGAGTGACTGGTGTGTGAGTGTGCCCTGTGATGAGTTGGCGCCCCATCCTGGGATATTCCTTGCCTTGCTACTGGGGTAGGCTCCAGACCCTTCGCACCCCTGGTCAGGCCAAGCAGGTACAGAAGGTGGGTGGATGGTAATCAGGCACAGTGACTGAACGGGTAATACTCTTGTCTCTCACCTACAGGGTTGGGCATTTAATTCCACCTCTGCTTTGCATGAGTGAAGTTTACATGATTGCATAGTAACATGCATGAAGAAAAACTGTATCATTCTGAGGACTGACTCATCTCTTTTTACAGGCAGACAGTGGTTTGCAGGTGCCTGGTGTAGCACTAGGGCTGTGCATTCAGAATCATTGATTGATCTCTCTGGCCTAATGAGCCCTATATGATCTTACATCCCTTCAGATTCCAGCTTCATGTTGAGACCCACTGGGGCCCAGGCTCTGTAGCTGACATTGCTTTGGACAACATCACCTTGGGTATCTCCTGCTTTGAAAGTGGTATGTATGGAGTCACCTTCTCCTTGAATTGCACTGGCACCCAATCCAGGGTGCTGCCCTACCTCGTGCCCTGCTGCCGCTACTCAAAGCCCTGTGATCAGTCACTGGATAATCTGTTTCGAAAACGGATGGATGAAAGGATTAGTGGATTCAATGTTAATGGATCTTTTCAAAATTGGCCAATAAAGTTGCATTTGTACAGTTTCTAACATACTACTGTGTATACGGCTTTAAGCAAAGATATCCAATTCGAGTTCTGGCAGGTCTTCTGGGTTCACTTAAGTAATTATCAATATCAGTTTGAAAATGTTTCATTTTCAGCATATTTTCACATGTATTGAGAACATTCATTATGGTTCATTGGGGAAAATGCAGAGGCACATATAGCTAGCTGTTTCTGCTTTGTTTATCACTTAATTTAAATCAGGCAGGAAAGAATGGTATGGCAACAGGCAGAATCAACATATAACAAAAAAGATGTTTGGATACTGGGGTCTGTTAACAATACAAATATGGTAATAAGTTCCACCCGTGATTCATAGTATGTGCCCTAGATGTGAATTTGCGAGCCTCGAATTCAGATTCCCTTTATATCTTTTTCCCCAGTAGAGGTAGAGAGAGTGTTGACTGCCATTATTCCATCAGAAGCAATGCAGAGTCATAGGTGTCTGTACCAGGATAGGTCCAGTGATTTGGCCGTCCAGACCTGTGCTGAGGGCTCATTTCACCTGGGATTGATATACTATGATCAAGGGGTAATATGAACAGTGCTCACAGAAAGTTCTAAGATGCTTGTGCAAATGATTTGATGTCATAAAAAAATCTATTGCAAAGCAATGTTTGACATAACTGTCCATCTGCACAGACATTTTCTTTTCTATGAAGTGTCATAATTTTTTTTTACTGAGTCATTCAGTTCTATTCTTGCTATTTTGAAATTAATTACAATAGTAATTACTGGCTCCCAAAGGGATACTAAACACAAATGTTTTGTGTTTTGTGTTATTGTAATGGTGTTGCCAATTAAAAATCACCCAATGAGACAGTGTCCTGACTTTAGAGCAGGGAAGCAGGAGCCACAGCCGAGGAATCGGGTAGACTAGGGATTTATTAAACAACACGAAACACGAGGCAAAGCAAGAGACGGACGTCAATGACCGGACTGGGGAAACATACTTTAACGCGGACTTAAATACACGGGGATTCCACATGAGGTAGCAATGGGGCGTGGCACACGGGAGGATCGGACGAGCTGGGCATGACAGACAGCTTGTCAATGAACTTTTTAACTTAACTTTTTAACAGCTCTTTTAGAACAATAATTTAGGTTTCAGTTTATTACTACCTGAAATGTATGTTGTACCTAAAACTACTGATCATTTCTAACGTGATATATTTATTTATTTTATTTGTTTTCGTAAACAAAAACAAAATATATATTTTTTTTATAAAACCAATAAATCTGAAATATTTTCACTGAATTATACAAGCATCCCTAGACTTTGTGAGAGCATCATATGAAAAGGTTTTTATCAAATGTCACATTAACTATTTTCACCTGCATTTTTTTAAAGATTCTCCATGCTGGGCATGGTGAAAATGAGTAGGCTATGTCATCCATAAGCCATAAGCAGACGTTTTAGCTGAAGGCCTAATGGAGCACTTCACACATCAGACCCCCTTCTTGGGAACAACAAGACTGACAAAGATGAGCGCTTGTTAAATTGAGAATGGCTTGTGTGATTCTGAAGTTTAACTGCCGTCTCCGGCAAGGGCAAGACAGCTCCCCCGGCGGTCCAGTGATGGAGCCGCTTTCTGATTGCTTCTGAAACGAGGCTCCACTGTCTCTTGCCCGCAATCCCATAATTCCCATAAAAGCTCAACAGCCAGGAGTGATTCCAATGCATTCAGTATAGTTCCAAGAAACTATATACTCAATCATGGCAGGCACTGTGCGCCGATTTCGGAAATCTCGTCCTTCTGTCTAACAGATGCTGCATCCCAGCAAATTTTTATTGGTAGATTTTTATTGAGTTTGGTAAAAGGCTAAGAGGTCTCGTCCAGTGGACATCTTCTAGATTGTGTACACTATGTTCATGTCTCATTTTCGTTGGTTCAGACCAACGGCGCCTGTGGAGTGCTGTCTATGGGCAGATTTATTGCAGATGACACCAAGGTGGGTGATGTAGCAGATTCTAAATTAGCAGCACAGAGGCTACAATGGGATCTTGATTTAATTAGCAACTGGGATGATACCTGGCAGATTAAATTTAACGTAGATAAATGTAAGGCAATCTATGCAGGGAGCAGAAATATAAAGTAAAGATATTTTATGGGTTCCACTGAATTAAAGGTAGCTGATTATGAGAAAGACCTCAGTATGTATGTTGATGCTTCCATGTCACACTCTCGCCAGTGTGGGGAAGCAATAAAAAAGGCCAATAGGATGTTGGGTTACATCATTCTCTAGGTGTGTGGAGTTTAAGTCAAGGGAGGTGACGCTACGATTATACGATTCCGTGGTAAGACCCCACCTAGAATATTGTGTGCAGGTTTGGTCACCATACCTTAAGAAGGACATTGCTGCCTTGGAAAGGGTGCAACGTAGAGCTACAAGATTGATTCCTGGTCTTAGAGGAATGTCTTATGAGGAGAGTTAGCTGAGCTGAATCTGTTGAGCCTCACGCAAAGGAGATTAAGGGGGGACATGATCCAGGTATATAAGATTGTAACAGGTCTGGATGCTGTTCAGCCAAATGGCTATTTCAATATTAGTTTAAATAATAGAACTTGTGGCCATAGGTGGAAATTAGCGGGAGAACATTTTAAAACAAATTTGAGGAAGCACTTCTTTACACAGCGTGTAGTTAGAGTATGGAATAGTCTTCCTGCTAGTGTAGCGAAAGCTAAAACCCTGGGTTCCTTTAAATCAGAGCTAGATAAGATTTTAACAACTCTGAGCTATTAGTTAAGTTCTCCCCAAACGAGCTTGATGGGCCGAATGGCCTCCTCTCGTTTGTATAGTTCTTATGTTCTTATGTTCTTACTACACCGCTACGCCAACACAATGGAGGATAAAAGAGTCGTTTTGTTAGTTATTTGTTAGTTATTGGGGGGATCGACCGCAATCAAAATGGGACACAGCCATTTAACAAACTTAATTTATATAACCAGCGACATATATGCTTATGATTCTTATTAAATATGGCCAGCAGATGGATCTTTCATTTTCCACTGAATAAATAACTAAGAATATAAGAACATAAGAACTATACAAACGAGAGGAGGCCATTCGGCCCATCGAGCTCACTTGGGGAGAACTTAACTAATAGCTCAGAGTTGTTAAAATCTTATCTAGCTCTGATTTAAAGGAACCCAAGGATTCAGCTTGCACTACATTATCAGGAAGACTATTCCATACTCTGACTACACGCTGTGTAAAGAAGTGCTTCCTTAAATCCAGTTTGAAATGTTCTCTCGCTAATTTCCACCTATGGCCAAGAGTTCTTGTATTTGAACTAATGTTGAAGTAACTATTCGGTTGAACAGCATCCAAACCTGTTAGAATCTTATAGACCTGGATCATGTCCCTCCTCAGT